GGTGAGCGATGACGGCTGCGGCGGATGCATACCCGGCGGCTCCGCTCTCGCCGGCCGCCTGATCTGAGCTCGGCGGGGCGGCGGCACCGGCACCGGGCGCAGGCAGTGCCATCGTTGGCGACAGCCGGCCCGCGAGCAGCGTCCGCAGCACGGCGTCGTTCGCCTCCCACGCCCGGCCGACCGCCTCGGCCGTCGCGGCGGAGCCGATGGCCTCCTGCTCTGCGGCGGTGAGAGTGGCGAGCGGCTCGAGCAGGTCTCGCAGCTCGCGGTCGTGCTCGGAGAAGAGAGCGGAGACGCTCTGGGAGGCGGCGGCGGCGTCGGCGGCGGTCGAGAAGAGCGCGACGCGAGTGGCCATCTGTGTATTGTATCGAGCGGCAAAGCGGTCCGTGCCGTTGGCTCCACACACCGTGTCGTCGACCGCTGGGCTCCGGTGTGAAGCCATAGTGTGTGTGAGTGTGTGTGTGCATTTAAGCCGTAGAACAAAAGAACTCCCATTTCCACGGAGGCCTCAACCCCCTCCTAAAGGGTTGACGGGGGGTCTCAACCGTCAACCAGATGGTTGAGGGGGGGCCTCAACCCTCAACCCTTCAACCACCCCTACCTTTGGCCAGATAGAACTAGAACAAAAGAACTCCGATTTCGCCGCCGACTTTCGCCCCCCTCGCCCACGGCGGAGTGCAACAGGGAGTGCAACAGAGCCTCCCTAACATGATTGAGCCGCAAGAGACCAACTGGCGCCGCGGCCGATTTGCTGCGGCCGTGTTGACCGTGGCGGCCCTGACGCTTCTCGCGCTCGCTGCTCCTAGTATTGCGCCTCAGACGGCGCCGCTCGACTCGCCGGCAGTGATGAAGGAGCGGGGCCCCCGTTGGCAGGGATTCTTCCACAATCTCTTCCCTCCGCCGCCCGCCCCTCCGCCGCCGCCGCCCCGCCGCTTCGGTGGGTACGGCGGGTACGCGTACGGTGGCGGCCGCGTCGGCAACCATGTCGACGGCCACGGGTGCGCGCTGTCGGCCGGCTTCTCATGGTGTGCTCCCAAGGGGCGGTGTGTTCGGCTCTGGCAGGAGGGCTGTCCGGGCATGTACGGCAAGGGCGGTGGTGGCACGTATGGCAAGGGCGGCGGCGGCGGCGGAGCGGGCTACCGCTACGGCGGGAAAGGTCCGGGCGGGTATGGCGCGTACCACTACGGAGGCGGCGGCGGCGGCGGCGGCGGCGGCGGCGGTCCCAACATTGGGTTTGGCGACGACGGCGGGCAGGCAGCGGCGGCCAGCTCCGTCAACTCCGAGTACACCGACGAGGTGCTCGACGACGTGTCTCAGGGCGACCTGATGGGGGTGGTGTCGACGGCGGTGGTGCGCGCCTCCCCCCTGTACTCCTCCCGGGGCCCCTTCCCTCTGCCTTCCTCCCCTCCCTCCGTTCCTGGTCCTCCCGTCGGTCCCCTCGTCTCCCTCTCCGCGTGCTATCGGCGGCGAGGTCGGTCGAGTGGAGGCGGGCAAGAGTCGGGCAAGAGGGAGAGTCGGGCCAGAGCCGGCCTCCCTCGCCGCCCTTGTCCCACGCCTCCGATCCCACCCCCCGCCCCCCAGGTCCACGCCAAGGAGGACCCGATGGGCACGCAGGCGGCAGACCGCCTCGACCAGCAGGCTCGGCGCTGCCCTCGCCACCTCTGCTCGCCACCTCTGCTTGCCGCTCCTCCCCGCAGCCAAACCCCGCCTCCCTCCTCCGCCGCCTCCTCCCCCAACCTCCGCCTCGCGCCGCCCCGCGCGCCTGGCTGCAGGTGGCGTCCAAATACGACTTCACCGGCATCGGCCACGCCTCCATCCAAGGGTACAAGGGCGCCGCGCAGATGTCGCAAGCCGTTTTTGGCGGCCGGTAGCCGCGGCCGCAGGAAGAGGGGGCGGCCGAGGCGGCGGCGGCCAGGGGCGGGGTGGGCGGTGTGTTTGTCGGTCTGGTGTGATGGGGCGATCGCCGAGGGCGGCTACTGGTGTCATGGGTCCCCGGACGCTGTACCCCTCTCAAGCTGTCGGGTGCGTCGAGGGCGGCTCCAGCGAGGGCGGCTCCCCTCTTTCCTCCTGGCGGCGACCCGAATAGGGGAGACATTGACTCTCGGCTGTTTGCGATTGCATGCGTGTTTTGCTTGTCGCGAGTCCTCTCTGGGGCCGTTGTTCTGGTGCGGTGCATCTCTGGCACCTACGACTCGACGTCTCGCGTGTTGTGATTGCCTTGTGTGTCACGTGCGACCAGGGTCCAGGGTCGGCGTTCGCGGGAACGAATAAGTCGTGCCCGTGGTGTGGGGCGGGGGGGCGACTTGGGGGGCGTCGACCTGGGCGTCGTCGAGGCAGAGCGGGCGGTGTGGGCCGTCATTTATTTTATCGGCATTGTTTTTCCCGATCGACCGGGCGAGGCGCGAGGAGGGTGGCGAGGGAGAGTGGAGACTGTGTGGAGGGTGACGAGTGGAGGCTGCATGGCCGAGCGAGCGCGCGGGCGCCGCGGGATCGCGGGTGCGGGGTGGCGGCACTCGACGACACGAGGAGACATGTACAAGGCGACGCGACGCGTGAGGTAAAACGTGAGATCACGTCTATGTCTATCGTTATCCTTTGGTATATATCATGTCATATAGAGAGAAGTCACGACGGCCCTGCCATTAGCAAACGCACCTCCCCCACCAGCAGCCTCACCCCTGCGTCAAAGGCAGCCGCGTCGTCTGAGCTCAGGTCGATGTAGAGCTTGCCGCCGAGCTTGCCGCCGACGGTGCCGGCCCAGCCGCTGGGGTTGCGGCAGCCGCGCTCCATCACGACCGAGATCATCTTCGCGACGCCCTTGCGGCGGCAGGCGTAGTCAAACTCGAACTTGCAGTTGTCGTCGTCGCCGGCTGGCCCCTTGCCCCACGCCTTTTCGAGGTACCGCCTCGTGATGAAGCAGACGACGCTGCTCGAACCCTCGATCCCCTCCACCATCCGCTGGTTGATGTCGCCCTGCATCCGCTCCTCGTCGAACCACGGCCGCAGCCCCGCCGCCTTGAGCGCCGCGCTCACCCTGCCCACCCGATCGTGGTTGCCGCGGCCCTCCTCGTCGTCGCCCCAATCGTGCGTAAGGAAGCAGTCGAACGCCGGTGGCGGTGGCGTCGCGGCTTCAGCCGCCGGCGCGGCGGCCGTGGCTTCAGCCGCCGGCGGGGTGTTTGCCGAGGTGGCCCGCGCAGCGGAGCCCAAAGATCCAACGATGCCGACTCCGTCACGCCGGCAGCGAGCCAGCGCGGCTTTGATGTCCCAGTCACACGCCTCGAGAATCGAGCTTGCCTCAGCGCTTGTGATGCCGCCGACGGTCTCGCGGAAGCGCTCCACTTTCAGGCTCGTCATCGCAGAAGAAGAGGAGCGTGGCCGCGAATTTTTTTTGTTGGTGTGAACCGCTTGCGTTTACGAGAACCGCTGACCGTTCAGGTCGAGCTCGGCGAGCTGAGCAAGATCATCCAGCGGCGCGACAGCTGAATCGCAAGCGTTGAGGAACGCGAGACACAGATCGCGTTCCGCGTTTCAGTTTCACAAAAGGTCTCTCTCTCTTCTCTCTCTCTCTCCCAAAAGGTACCACACCCTCCCTCCCTGCGCCATAGGTAGGCGTATTTTCTTCTCATAACAAGGCTGTGAACAGCGCACCACAGCGCCATAGGACGTATTTTCTCTCAATAAGAAGGCTGTGAAGTGTTTATGTACTGCATCTTTAGTGCACTTTAGCGCGAATTTAGTGCGAATTTAGCGCAACTTTAGCGCGAATTCAGCGCAACTTTAGCGCGAGTTCACTGCGACTTTACATCCAGAGTTAGCGAGGTTTAGTGCGTCTTTAGTCCATCCGTCCGCGCACTAGGATCCAGCCGCAGCCCCTCGCTGGGCCTCCCTCCCCCTCTCCCCCTGCAGCCCCCTGCCCCTAGCCCTGCCCACTCGCAAAAGTTTCCCGTCCGACCCCCAACCACGAAGGTTTTTCAGCTGAATATCAGCCTCCGGTGTGTGAAAGAAAAAGAATCCGTATCATAAAAAGTAGCAGCCCAAAATGTTCACCTACGGGTATGTTCGTAAGAGCTACATACACTGAGAGAGCCTAGAGAACACAACCCCCTGTCTCTTTTCTCCCAGTAAGCTAAAAGTACGTACACTGAGAGAATGGACGGACGGAAAAACACCCCCCTTTTATGCCTGACCCTGGGCATGGTCTCTCTGGGGTGAGCTGGGTCGGCCACCTCCGGGGCTGCAACTCGCACGGTGGGACCGCTTCCGGGCGAGCATCCGAGGCCTGCGGTTGTCCCTTCGCTGGGCGCGGCCGCCATGGAGATCCGCTGCACACAGATCAGTGTTTTTGGCGACTATTGCTCGCTCTCTGTGCAATCGCAACGCCAGCGGCCGTGCTTGGAGAATGGGTCGCGATGCTGCTGCGCCAGAGGATTGAGCCGCTCCGCAAGCTCCATCGGTGAGCTGCGGTGGCGCGCCGGCCGCTTCATGCATGGCTCTCCGGCGAGCTGCCGCAAACGCGTTTTCCGTCCGCCCGTTTCATCGAGTTTGCCCGAGTGGTAAAATGCAATCGATTTTGCCCGAATGGTAAGGCGCAACTTTTGCATTTGGTAAAAGTTGCCCGAGTGGTCAGGACGTGTTCTCAATAACAAGGCTGTGAACGCCGCCGTCTGTGGCGATGCGCAAAACATCAACAACGCTGCTCGCAACATGCGTGTCCCCCACTCATTCATGACCGGTCTCAATGCCCCACCCCCCTGCGCGCGGGCCTTCTAGGCCCGCGGGTAGTCTCCCCCCATCCCCAGGGCCTCCAGGGCTCGCACCTCAACCTCTCACAGACCAGCGCACAGCGCCATAGGACGTAGGTATTTTCTTCTCAATAACAAGGCTGTGACTCTGTGCGATTTCGGGCCCGCGGGGTTGTGCGTTTATGTGAACACATGACAACTGTGTGCTGGCAGAGCGAGCCAGCCGCTGCGCACATAGTAAACGAGCACCACAGAGACATGCTGGCAATCCTCGTGGCTACCTCCATCCCTGCGGCGCTCACGCCCGGAGCCAAACCGTTCTTCGCTGTGGTGCAAACCTCGGTGGGAAATGCGGCTCGCACGGCCTCAGATGCAGTGCGGAATTCGCCCGCTGTTGCGACTGGCTTGTTTGCCACGGCCTCAAAGGCAGTGCAGCAGTCTCCCGCGGTCGCCGTGGGCTCTTTTGCGGCTGGCGTAGCTGCTGGCTGCGCGGGTTCCACTCTCCAGCGCTGTCTCGACCTCTACCTGACCGCTGACGACATGCCTGGCAGCCATCTGCGACAGCACCGTTCCATTGCTGCCAAGGTGGTCGCCGTGAGCGATGGCGACACCTTGCGCGTTCGCCACACGCCCACGCTCCTGTCGTCTGGCAAATTCAAGGGCAAGCTGTCAGAGAACACCATCTCTGTGCGAATCGCTGCCGTTGACACGCCGGAGACAGCCAAGTTTGGGCAGCCAGGACAGCCGCTCGGGGCAGACGCCAAGGCCTTCACAAAGAGGCTCCTTAATCGCCGCGTCAGGGTGCGCTGCTACGCGCGCGACCAGTATGGGAGGATCGTCGGAACGGTACAGTACGGGATACGGCGGCGTGACCTGTCGACCGAGCTACTGCGCAAGGGTCTGGCCTCAGTTTACCGCAGCGCTGGTGCAGTCTACGCGCAGCGCCCCCTCAGCGGCTGGGATGCGATCGAGGCGAGGGCGCAGCGTAATCGGCTTGGCATGTGGCAAAGAGGCGTCAGCGCGGCGATGCTGCCCGGCGAGTTCAAAGCGCGCCAAAGAAAGAGGAAGGCCAAGTCGTGAAGCGTAAAGCGAGCCCCGTGCCATCGCGCCACGTCGGGCCCCCGAGCGGCTGAGTTAATGGGTTTGAATTTTCTGTGCTTGGGCGCTTCATACACAGCTCTCACACGTATAATGCTCCTCATTTGCACTCTTTGATATGGGGGTGAGAGTTCTCTCATCTCTGCGACTCTGCACTCTCTGCACTTTGGGAGGAGCCGTTCAAATAAATAAATAAAAACGGACACCTCTCTACTGTGAGATGGGTAAAAAGGAACAGGCCCCCGCCCTTGCGATCTTTGTGCAGGAGCCGTTCAGCTGAGAGGAGCTGTGTGAATTTCCCAGTCGTGTTTGCTCTGGCAAGCCGACGAGAGAGCTCTAGCTCCCTCGACGAGTCGGACATCCCCTCGTCACACACGCGCACGGACGCATGGAGATACCTCATCCAAGGCGCAAAAAAGGGGCTACCCCCACACAAGTGTGTCACAACACAATTAGTCTACGGCGCGCATGATAAAAAATGAAAACCGACAGCAACACAAGTCGTGTTTCTCAGAAGTCAAGCTGAGAACCCGGGGGTTCTCAGGCTGTTCGAGCGCCGGTCAAGGCAGACTCGGCAGCGCCGGCAAGGCTAGGCTCGGCACTGAGCGACGGCAGTTGCATCAGCGCCGACAGGGGTAGACTCGGCAGCGCCGGCCGCAGCTTGCTCATCCTGAAGCGCACTGGCAGGTGCTCGAACCTACCGCGAGGACAGGGCAAGCTGCGTTGTCCTGGGGCGCGCCAGAGGGCGATGGTTGTGTGCGGGCACACACCAGTCGAGGTACTCCGCCGAGCAGGCGCGCAGGAGGGCGTGGAAGCTCGAGTACTCCTCAATGTCCTCCTCTTTTTGCTCGGCGTGCTCGAGCAGAGGGTTGTAGTCGCTGATAAGCGAGAGCACGTACCGCGGCGGCAACGCCGTCCGCCACTCCAGGTAGACAACGTGTGCGACGGGTCCCACAAAGGGAGACTGCTCCCACCTATCCTCGGAACGATATCGGGTGAACACATGAATGATGTTCCGTGCCTACGAACGGGCCGCTCCGAGCGCTCGAGCGCGTAAAAGTGAGGAAGTAGGCCGCGCGCCTGGTTAGCTCTCGCTCTGCCGTCGTCGTGCCCTCTAGGGAGAGCAGAGCGATGGACACCATCCTCAACGAGGCTCCGCCATCCGTTAGAGAGTTTGAGGCGCGCACGCCGGGCGCGAATTCTCGAGCACACCCTCTGCCCACCCCATCTGCAAACACACCGCTATGTGCCATGCGGCTCAACTCGTAGGAGATGCGTGAGATGCTCATCGCGGGCAAGGTCCACTACCCGCCTAACGGATGGTGGGAGGATTTGCTCTTCTACCTTCAGAACAACCACGTCCTCCTCTCTGCCTTCTGCGCTCACCCCGCACACCCTTACACGCGCTGCCGGCGGTCGCTCGTGTTGCTCTCTTCAGTCACGTTTGCCTTCTTCCTCAACGCCGTCTTCATTGCTGCCGTCCAGACGACCCTGCTCCGCTCCATCCTCGAGGTGAAAGCCACGCTGTCGAAGGTGATTGTGCGGGGCACCTCCTGACAGTCTGTGGCATATTGTCGATATAGGCGACGATCGGCACGATCGTGCAGATGATGTGGGATGTGCCGAGCGGGATGGTCGGGGCTTGCACGTGTGCCAATGCCTCCTGCCTGCCCTCGTGCGTGGTGCGCCTATGCCACTGCGTCTCGTGCGCCATCCTCGCCTGCCATCTCTACCTCGGCATCTTATACGGCATCGTCGGAGTCGTCATCCTTGCTCTCGAGAAGTCGGAGCGTACGGAGGTGGACGAGGTGTCGCTGGAGTTTGCACACGCCAAGGTACAGCATGACACACAGCGCGCACGGTCGCTCCGGCCTCACATTGTCACGGTCTGTAGGTGCTCGCGTGGGCAACTTCTGTGCCCTTTCTCGCTCTCATCTTTGGATGCTCCAGGTATTTTGAGAAGAGGAAGTCGGCAAAAGACGTGGTCGCTCATTGGCAGAAATCAGCGAAAGCACCGGTGGATTTGGACTAAATATAACGATTTGTGTGCCGCGTTGACCGTTTTGTGTGCACTGTTAAAGCGTGGGCCGTGGCGGTGGGATTTTCAAGATTTCAAGAACGAGAGTAGAACCCATTGTATGTACGGCAGGCTCTCCGACAGGCCAGAGCGGCCGACAGAGGCGACGGACTCTTCCCCATCCCAGACAACGCTCAACGGTGGTTATATACCACATTTCCACGCCGTCTCAGCCGCCGTCCCTCTCAACGCGGCTTGCGGAGAGGCTTCCGCGCCGTCCGCGCCTTACTGCGGCCCGCAGTCTCGCTCGCCCCGATCGCAAAGGGGTTGCCCGCCGCGGGGACGGCCGTGGTCGCGGGCCCAAACGCGGGCGGCGCGCCCGCACCAAAGGTCGGTGCCGCCGCGCCGCCACTAGCCGCGCCAAAAGCTGGCGCCGCCGGCGTTGCGCCGGCCGCGGCGCCACCGAACCCGAAAGTGGTCGCCGGCGTGGCCGAAGCGCCGTTGGCAAATGCAGATCCCCCGAAAGTAGTCGACGCCGCGCCGCTCGCGCTCGCGCCTAGACACAAAGAGCGGATCCTCGCGAGAAGAGGAGCCAAGCTGATACGGAGCAACGTGAAAGAGCACCGAAACCGCTTGATGCGCCGCCCGCGCTGCCGCCGAAGCCGCCCGCCGCCGCAGCGGGCGCCGGAGCGCCTCCGAACGAAAAGGCGCCGGCGCCGGAGCCCGTGGCCGGCGCCGCAGCACCAAAAGCGGGAGCAGCCGGCGCTGCGGCGCCGAAAGCGGGCGCTGCCGGTGCTGCAGCGCCAAACGGCGAAGCCGCGGGAGCGCCGCCGCCGAAGAGCGAAGGCGTGGCTGGGGCGGGGGCAACCGGCGCCCCAAACCCACCCGCTGCAGGTGCCGGCGCGCCTAGAGTCGGGGGAGGGGGGGGCAACAGTTGGAGCTGGGGTGGGGACCGGCCGCATCGCAACTCGACAAACGCACCAAAACCGCCCGCTGCGGGCGCCGGCGCACCAAACCCACCTAACCTCGACGGGTCGCGATGAGGGTGCAACGCTGCGGGCGCGCGTGCTGAGCGGTGCTGCGCCTGCGGCGGGCGCCGGCGCGCCGAACGCAGCCGCAGGGGTGGAGGCCCCGCCGCTAAACGCAGGAGCTCCGCTCCCGAAGGCTGTCGACGCCGCGCCGCCCGCGCTCGCGCCTAAGACAGGGGCAGACACCTTTGTGAGAGCAGGAGCCACGACTCGCTCACCAGCGAGCACGCAATGCCGAAGCCGCTCGATGCGCCACTCGCGCTGCCACCAAAGCCGCCGCCACCCGCGCCGAAGCCGCCCGCCGCCGCAGCGGGCGCCGGAGCGCCTCCGAACGAGAAGGCGCCGGCAGCCGCCGGCGCGGATGGCGCCGCCGCGCCGAAACCGGGCGCCGCCACCGCCGCCGCGCCGAAGGGAGAAACTGCGGGAGCCGCGCCGCCGCCGAAGAGCGAAGCTGCAGGAGCACCACCGCCAAGAGCACCGCCAGGAGGGTCAGTGCTCGGCGCCGCCGCGCTGCCAAAGAGGCTGGTCGTTGCGGCGGGCGTGGCGGCACCAACCGCACCGCCACCGCCAAACGAGAAGGCGGTGGCGGCCGGCGCTGCCGGGTTGGCCGAGGCCGCCGCGGGAGTCGAGGACCCACACAGCCCTCCCGCTGGTGCAGCGGCAGCGGGGGCGCCGGCGGAGCCCCCGCCGAAGCCGAATGCACCTCCACCTGCTGGCGCTGGTGCAGCGGCGGCGGGAGTGGCGGCGGCACCACTGCCGAAGCCGAATGCACCTCCAGCTGCTGGCGCTGGCGCAGCGGCGGCGGGAGTGGCGGCGGCACCACCGCCGAAGCCGAATGCACCTCCAGCTGCTGGCGCTGGCGCAGCGGCGGCGGGAGTGGCGGCGGCACCACCGCCGAAGCCGAATGCACCTCCAGCTGCTGGCGCTGGCGCAGCGGCGGCGGGAGTGGCGGCGGCACCACCGCCGAAGCCGAATGCACCTCCAGCTGCTGGCGCTGGTGCAGCGGCGGCGGGAGTGGCGGCGGCACCACCGCCGAAGCCGAATGCACCTCCAGCTGCTGGCGCTGGCGCAGCGGCGGCGGGAGTGGCGGCGGCACCACCGCCGAAGCCGAATGCACCTCCAGCTGCTGGCGCTGGCGCAGCGGCGGCGGGAGTGGCAGCGGCACCACCGCCGAAGCTGAACGCTCCTCCAGGTGCTGGCGCGGTGGTTGCGGGAGCGGCGGCAGGCGCAGCCCCGGCGGGCGCAGCCCCTCCGAAGGCGAATGAAGGCGTGGGAGCGGCGGCGGCGGCGGCGACCGTCGGCGTGTCAGTGGCGCCGAAGCCAGCAGCGGGTGGTCGGGTGGCCGGGGTCGCTGCCGGCGCCGCGACACTCGACGTCGGCGTCGCCGCCGCCGCCGGGCCGGCGCCAGCAGCGGCTCCCCCCCCAAACGAGAAGGCCGGTGCGGATGGCGTCGCCGCCGTCGGGGCGCTCGGTGCCGGCCCGCCAAACGTAAAAGTCACCGCCGAGCCAGGTGCGGCAGGTGCAGCGGCGCCGCTCGATCCGAACAGACTCAGCGGCGCCGCGGGGGGCGCCGCATCTGCCGCCGGCGGCGCCGCCGCCGCCGGTGCGTCTGCTGGCGAGGACGAGGCGGCCGGCGCGCCGCCGAGAGCAAGAGCCGACGTGGATGGGGTGGCTGAGGAGGAGGGCGCGAAGAGCGAAGCGCTTCCGCCGCCAAACAGAGCGGCCCCGCTCGCAGGCGCCGGAGCAGCGGCCGTGCCGCAAGGGGCGATGCCGCCGCCGCCGCCGAGGCTTGAGGCGCCGCCGAGGCCAAAGCCGAGGCTTGAGGCGGCCGCGCCGGCGCTGCTTCCGCTCCCGCCGCCGGTGGGGAGGAGGCCGGCACCGAAGGAAGTCGACATGTCCCTTGGGCCGAGGTGGGGCGGCTCGGAGCCGGCGGGGCCGGCGGAGGAGGCGGCGAGGTCTGCGCCGGTGAGGGGGGCAAGCCGCTGCAGCCGCTGCCTCTCCGCACGGTCGATGAGCTCCGCGCCGAGGGCGCCCTGGCCGTGAGGGTGTTGAGGGTGGTGCGGGTGTGGCGGGGCGGGGGTGGAGGGAGTGGAGGGGGGTGAGAGGAGGCTTGCCCGACGGGCGGAGAGGCGAGCGAGACGAGGAGTCCGCGGGGAGAGGGGGGGGGGGGGGGGGGCCCCTTTCGCTTGAGCGCCCCTCCGCCGACGCGGGCAAAGCCACCCGGAGCCAAAGCGCTCAACCTGCGCAGGGTACCCCCCGCAAGCGGTGAAAAGAGGCGCCGCCAAAAGGAGGGGGGGGGGGGGGGGGGGAGTGGTGGTGGGTGGTGGTGAGAGGAGAGGGAGAGATTTATGAAACGTAAAGTGCCGCACAGTCACACACAAACACACACAAGCAAGGCACGAAAGATTTTTTTTAATACATGTAACATACGTAGATGCCCGCTCTCACAGACAGGGGGCCAGCACGCCCAAGTAGTACCGTCAATCACACCAAGGCTAGAGAGAGAGAATCTCTCTCTCTCTCTCCAAGGCTCGAATAGAAGAAATCTCGACGACTGCCGACGCGCGCCAGTCCCGTGCCCAGTTGGTTGTCCGAGGGAGTTGTTTCGGATCTCATTCCTCTCTCGCTCACGCCCGCAACGATGCTGCTGGGCCGACGACGCCAGACAACTCGGACAGTCTGGGATCGCCTCGTCTGCTCACGAGCAGCGCACTCACTCCCGCCGCACACCATCTTTCTGCCAGCCGGCCGCGACTCGACAAAGGAGCGGGCCCAGCGAGCGCTGCCGGCCGGGCGAACCCCGGTCGCCTGCTTGCTCGGCTGGGTCGGCTGCGGCGAGCGGGCGTTGCGCAAGTACGCTGACCTTTACACTCGCCGCGGCGTCGACGTCATCGCGCTGCTCCTCAAGCCGCAACATGTCGCACTGCCCGTCTCGCGTGGCGAAAGCACGATGAAATGTATCGCCGACGTCCTATCTGCGGCCGATACGCGGGAGAGGCCCATAATGGTGCAGGGCTTCTCGGCGGGCGCCTTTATGTACGGCAACCTCTTGACGGAGCTGGGCCGTCGCGGTGCAGAGGGCGCCGACTTTGCGGCTCGCATCAAGGGCTCCGTCTGGGACAGCCCCGTCGACGCGAGCGGCGTGCCCTTTGGGCTGAGCCGGGCCATTATGGACGGCGGTGTCGCCGGCCGGTCGGAGGGGACGGTGGGCCAGCGGCTGCTGCAGAGTGCGCTCGAGGCGTACCTCTCTCCGAGCGGCCCGATGAGGCAGTACTACCAGGCCTGTTACCTATGACACCCGTCAGAGAGAGGAGAGGAGATGTCAGCTCGGCAAGCCGATCCGCCGCACCACGTGCTCATGGTTGGAGGAGAGGCGCCGTTCGCAGCTCGTGTAATCACGCTGATGGCGGCGTGTGCGAGCCTCTTGCCCTCCTCCCGCCCGGCCATGCAGGCCTCGAGCGACGCGATGCACGGCAAGGCATTCGGCGCCGGCTTCTCGTCGCCGCTCGCGGCGCCGACTCCGGCGGACGCGCTCGGGGAGAGACGGACGCGTCGCCGACACGTCCCGCCGCCTGTCCTCCGTAGGTGCCCACGGCGGTGATCTACTCCGAGGCGGACACGGTCACGCGGAGCGAGGACATCCGGGCGAGACTCCGCCCCGCGGCGGGAGGGGAGGGGGGGGGCGAGGGCGACGCTTGCGCGACTCTGCCTGCCTGTCTCTAGGCGGTCTTTGACAAGTGGCGCGAGGCGGGCAGCGCCGTGGAGGAGGCGGTCTTCGAAGGGACGCAGCACGTGTCGCACCTGCCCGCCGACCCGGGGAGGTACGAGCAGGTGGTGGCACGCGTGGTGCGCGAGGCATTCGCGGGGGCGCCGGCCGGCCTAGCGGCGGGCGCTATCCGCTGAGGCGGAGCTTTAGCTCGAGAGGAAAAGATGTACGTGCAGCGCTCGGTCCTCGGAGAGACCACTCCGAGAACGTCGGTGTGTGTATGTGGCATGTGTATGTTCCACGGCTCATATACAGTGTATGTGACAGCTACGTACTCTATAAGGCGCTCTTGTAAAGTACATGTACGGCTTTATTTACAGACAGGATAAACACAGCACTCTCTCTGCATAACACTCTACAGGTGCGTGTTGTATACCAGTACGTGCATGCATCGAGGTATACGTTCTTGCACATTATGCACATGCGACATTTACATCAGAAAAACTCTCGGAACCCAACGACGGCGTCCGCGCTACTGCGCGAAGCTACGAGCGCTCTGAATCCGACTCATCCGCGGCGGATCAAGAAGAAGGCGACGGCCGGCGTCGGGCGTCCGCCCGCCCAGGAAGGCATGCCCGCCCGCCGCGGACACCTCCCTCGCCGTCTCCTCGAGGACGCGCACGACCTCCGCGAACTCTGGCCGGTGCGACGCGGTGGAGGACCAGCCCGCCTTCACGAGGGCGTGCAGCTGGAAGGGCCACGCCTTGCCGAGTGGAGGCCGGTTGCCTCCGCAGCACACCTCGCGCAGGAAGACCGAGGGCGTCATGAACTCGAAGGGCTTGCGGCGCGAGAGCATGTGGTACAGCAGCGAGGTGAAGGAGAAGACCTCCGCCTTGTGGTTGTACGGCTGCGAGAGGGCGACCTCGGGCGCCATGTACCGGAGCGAGCCCGTCATGCCGGTGAGCTGCCGGGCGGCGTCGTCGTCGGCCGCGTCCTTCTCCCACAGCGCGAGCAGCCCGAAGTCGGCGAGCACCACGCGCCCGTCGGCGAAAACGCCGACGTTGTTTGGCTTGATGTCGCGATGGAAGAGCCTGCAGGGTGGCGGGCAGGTGGCGGCGTGAAGCGTGGGTGGGGGCAGTCGGAGCCAGCCGGCCGGCCGGTGGGCCGTCTGGCGAGGGTGGGATGTGTCTACAAAACGGCCCAGTCGCGGTGTCTCAATACAACCGATCGGGGAGAGCCACCTGTATCCGGGCAGGAACTCGTCGTGGCAATGCCGCAGCGCCCTCGCGAGCTGCAGCCCGACCGAGAGCCCGCGGGCGAGAGGCCACTGGCGCGCCTCCCACTTGTGCGCAAGCACGCCCGTCGAGGTGGGCAGGAGCGCACTCAGCGGCTGCGAAAACATCTCGAGGCAGCAAAAGGGCGCCCCATCCTTCCCGGTGCCGTGCGCGACCATGCGAATGATGTTCGGGTGCTCGAGCCGCGAGAGGATGGCGATTTCTCGTTGAAGATCTGCCAGCCCTATCGACTCTCGGCAGGAAGGTAGATCTCTCCGGAGCCGCTTCAAAGCGACCATGCAGCCCCGGAACGAGGCCGAGTGCACAGTGCAAAACTCGCCTGCTCCCAACTTCGAGAGCGGCTGCAGTTCGGAGAAGGAGACCGGCTCGCCGAGCGGGTCTCTTGCCGCCGCCTCCCAGCCCGCCGCCGCCTCCGCCTTCGGCAGCTCGTCGCCGAGCCCGGCGAGCCGCGCGAGCTCGGTCACCGAGTCAGGCGAGTCACCACCCGTTGTGCTGTGCATCCTGGACTAAAGAATGAGGCCGCAAAAGAATTTTGAGGAAAGGGCGCAAAATACGCTGCGAGGAGAGCGGAGCTGAGTGCGCCGAAACCCGAAAGGCGAAAGAAGCCGCGAGAACAAGGGACCGGCAGGCGGCGGCGGCGTCGCAGGACGAGGCAGAGGAGAGCGACGCGACAGAGGATGAAGCGACAGGAGAGAGAACGACGAGAGTGGGACGACCGCGAGGTGGCATGAAGGTTGCAGCGAGAATCGGCGAGGGACTGCGAAGAGAGATAGGAAGAGGCAGACGCCCAAGGGTTAGGGTGGGCGACGGCTAGCACCACACTCCTCTCCTTAAAATCCCTGTGTGGTGGCGGCGTGCCGCCCTCCCATCCCTCCCTTTGGGTTGTTTGTTTTCTTTCCAACCCCTTTCCTGGCTCACAAGCTAAAGATGTTCACGGCCCCCCCCGCATGGGGAGCCCCGGGTACTCGGCGGCGCGCTGTGCGGCGCAGTTCTTCGGGCACGACGAGAGCATGAACTTTGGGTTGCGCGTGCACTACCCTGCGGACGACCAGCGGCGCACTGCTCCATCTCGCCGTGCTGGTCCAGCGTTGGCGCAGCCGTCGCGCACGCCTTGGCACAGTGCTGCTCCATGAACATCGGGTTGCTCTTGCACTCGCCGCTCCGCGCCCAGCCCTCGCACAAAGGACGGATCGCCGCGGCAGGCGGAGACGAGGAGGAGGAGGGGCGAGGGGCGCAGCGGCAGGCGCGAGAGACCCAGCATCGCAAAGTCGCCCAGGGTCGGAGGGTGTGCGCCCCGGCGGAGCTCGGCAAAGGGAGGGCGCTTGGGTCTAAATTTAGTGCGTGTGAATGAACTTTAGTGATAGTTTAGTGCGCTATTTAGTGCGTGTTCGAGTTAGGGTTGCCTAACGTTAATTTGGGGCCTAACAGTTGCGCTATTGTTGGCTGAAATCCTCAACGTTGTTCAAGTGTTCACCCCAGCCCATGCTGTTACTGTTTGTTACTGGTTGTTACTGTTGTTCAGCGGCCAGCAAGCAGAAAATGGCAAAAACCCCGGGTAAAACCCGAAAATACCTGGGGTTTCCCGGGTATTTTCGGGTATTACCCGCACTGGACACTAGAGATCGTCGTGGGTCACTGCAAGGCCTTCCTTACTGTTGTTCAGTCGGCCTAACGTCAGTGTTGAATATTTACCGGTATGGGAGTTTTTGGCTAATCAAACCCTAGGCCTGAACTAATCAAAAAGTGGTACGGGATACCAGTTGCCCCACGGAAATCAAAGCGAGTCGGAGTGCCTTCTTGGTGGCAAAATCGGCAAAATCGGCAAAATACCGGGTATTTTGCGGGTATACCTGGAAAAACCCGGGTATACCCGGGTAATACCCGCACTTTTGCATGGTTTCGCCCCCGGGACCACACCGACAGCCGCTACAACTAATGAAAACCCCGCATACCACTTTCGCATACCACTATACCATACCACTCCAAAACTAATCAAAATATCACCAAATACCGGTCTCATACCGGTAAATATTCAACACTGCCTAACGTTAGCTACTGTTGTTGGGAAGCCCCACTGTTGTTCTGTTGTTACTGTTAACACTAGCAACACTGTTCAGCTCCTAACGTTAGGCAACCCTAGTTCGAGTGCGTATATAGTGCGACTTTAGCGCAAATTTAGCGCAAATTTAGCACATATTTAGCACATATTTAGCCGACTATGGAGGACCCGTCGCCAGACGACGCAGGGCAGAAGACGGTGAGGCGGAGCAGACGCGCAGGGCGAGACGAGGGAGGGAGCAGGACTTTGCGGAGATCAGCAGGAGGATGTACGAAGAGATTAGGAGCAGCAGGGACCCGAGGGACCATGTGGAAGACGGCTAGTGCTAGTCCCCCATCGGGAGGACGACCCCGGCTAGTCGCCGACCACACCCACAAAGAACCCTGCACAAAGATCGCAAGGGCGGGGGCCTGTTCCTTTTTACCCATCTCACAGTAGAGAGGTGTCCGTTTTTATTTATTTATTTATTTAGCACATATTTAGTGTGATGGCTGATGCGTGTCTGGTCGCCCGGCATGGTCAACGATGTGGAGAGCAGTCCGAGGCGTGGCAAGGTAAGGTAAAGGTACGCCACTCCCTTACCGTAGGCATGGTCAACGACGTGGAGCAGTCCGAGGCGTGGTTCTTCCACACGGTCGGTAGCGGGATCCGGCGCTCAAGGACCCAGATGCGAACTCAGATCCGTGGTATACACCGACTCAAGCCTTCGGGTGCGTATTCAGCTGTATTCAGCTTTGTTCATGGATATCGGAAGCCCTCGCATTCACGCGATGCTCTTGTTCCTGCATGGATCCGGTGTGTTCATGACGTAGGATCAAGGACGCGCCCTCGTACCGCATCGGCTCGCACACCGTCGCGCCCTTCCCGCGACGCGAGATCATCGTCAAGCACGGGTTCGCGCGCGCGTTCTGGCCGCCCCGAAGATGGAGTATGTGCTCGGCGACGGGCGGCGGCCTTGCGTCAGTGACTCCCCCGCCCGAGAGATCCTACACTGCCAGAACTTGCAGGTCCCGCTCTGGGAGGCGGTCGACCAGCGGGGGTGGGAGAGGCGATGCTAAGGGCGGGGTAGTAATGAGCCGGTGCCGGCAAGGATCGAGGTGCACCGGCCTTGTGTGTTGTGAGCCCGCGGGGCCAGCCGCCCCAGCGTCAACTCGCGGCAAAATTCTTTTTCCAGAAAGATACCATCGCGCCGCCACCCTACGTTTGTGTACATGCGTGCCGGGCCAGCGCCACCAAGACCATCCTCGCCTTTCCGCACTGCAGTGCGTCTCTCTGGGGCGTGCTCTGGGAGTGCGCCTCGATGGTGGTCCTCATCGCCGCCTCGATCGTCGAGTACAGCCTCGGCACCCTCTCGATGCTATGAGAGAGCCGTCCCCGGTCCACGGTGTTATGGCCCGAGAGGCCACGCCGAACTGCTCACGGCTGGAAATTTCGCTTCGCGCGCTTGCCGGCATCGATCCCCAAATGTTTTCTCTTTTCCGTCATCAAACCTCGGATCACGAAACGGACATGAGGACAGCGTGTTGACAAACGTCGCGGACTCGTCCTTCGATCCCTCGGGAAACGCGTAGATTTGCACATTGCAGGCCGTTTGACGCGTCGATGGCCCGCCTCTCGGATCTCAGAGTGAGTTGTACGACACAGACAGGACAGTTGAAGCCCACGCGCATCAGAGCCCGCCATCAAACTTGCCATCTCATGCATGATCCATCTCTGTCTCCCCCTCGAACCCATGCCGCATGCACAATCCGTCCGAACGCGGCGGGCGGAGTCCGTATGCTCGGCCGGCACTCCGCTTCATCAGAACATGTCCTCATCGTCCTCCTCAGCGTCGTCATCAAAGTCGCCCTCGCCGTCGTCTTCGCTGTCGTCGTCCGCCGGCGGCGCCTCGTCCTCCTCCTCTTCCTCTCCCTCACGGGCGACGAACCGGACTGTGCATGCGCCGACTTGAACATCCTTGGCCCGGAGGACGGCGTTGCCGGGGTTGTCTTGCAGGTCAAGCAGCTCGAGCCGTTGTAAGACAGAGGCGTCGCGTTCGCTGCGTTCCCTCTCCGCCTCCTCGCCCATCGTGAGAAGCACCAGCCCGATGCCTGCGCTGCCGATCCGATTCTTGCGGAGTATGAGATCGGTGAGGCTTGGCAGGAGGCGCGGCTCCGCGAGCATCGAGACGAGATGGCGCGCGCCGTCGCACTGCAGGTTGGAATTGGAGAGAGACAGGATGCTGAGCGACGGGAGGCAGGACGGATTGGCTCGCAGAGCCGACGCGAGGGCCTCGCCGACGGCGCCGGGCTGCACGCCGGGGTCGTTCAGCGTGAGGAACCCGAGAGACGGCAGATCACCCGCCCCTAGGCTGCGGAGCAGAGGCAGCGTGCCGCCCGACGTGTTGTTGGACGCCAGCAGCCGGGACAGAACCGGCAGCGATCGATTCGCCTGAGGCGGTGTGTCGGAGGACATCAGATCGCCTGAATGCGGTCGGGGCTGGCGGGGCGAGGGCGCGGGAGTGCTCAGCGGGAGACGATCGCACAATCAGCTCGCCAAAGTCGGCCATCTCGGCGACGCGCAAGTGGTTGAGGTTGAGCTCTTGCATGAGTTGCAGCCTCCAGCACTTTGTCGGGAAGAGGCCCGTCTGCGGTGCGAGCCGGCGAGTCAGCTGCTCCGCGCTCCTTCGAGACTGCCGGAGTTCCTCCAGCACGCTCGTCAGCGCGCTACGGATGCCACGGCAGGTCGACCCGAGCGCGACACAGCTTGCGGGCGCTAGCGGGTCGAACAGCTCCGAAGCCAGGCGGGCGAGGAGGTCGTCCGGTGTCTCGACGCCCGCGATGGCGGTGGACGTGTCGGGGGTCTCGAGAGAGATCGGAGGCATGTGTATGTACGCATGTGTGTGTCGACAACGACGAGGAATCTAGGTCACGGCGAGACGCCGCTCACAGCGTTCCTGAGGCCGGGCTGCTGCAGGTGTGTGTGTGTGTGCTGCAGGCAATCGAGGGCTTTCGTGCGTGGTTGCCGTCCTGATCCTCCTGCTGAGCCACATCAGTGAGTACATTGCGGACACACCTGCGCCGGTTCGCAGCTGCTGCATCCTGGAGCACCGGGCCCTGGTTCTCGAGGTTCTCGAGGTGGATATCCTTTGGCCGCGTTGGGTAGCGAGGATTGGTGTGACGGGCCCTGGAGCCACAACCGTATAAACCTCGGTTCGATCTCGCGGTACGAACATGCAGCATACAGAAGCATGTGCGATCCTAGCTTGTCCCGCATGTCGTCGCACCATCCCATCTCCGTGTACATCTTCGTCCACAATTGAACCGCGTTGCGAAGGCGCTCCTCCTTATGAGACATCGGCCTCGGCAAGAGAATCACCGTCCCGACTCTCCGACGTCTCCTCATTCTCCGACGCCTCGTCGTGGACGACGCGGCCATGCCTCGACTGACTACACCCACAGC